GACGCGTAATCCGGATGCCTGATGCCGCGTTTCAAATAATTCTTATTCAAACATGGCTGTAATGGGACCCAGTCTCAAAAGCTGGCATATACTAAGCCAGAATGGTTCTTAATCCTCCTTGACTGACCATTCTGGAGTAGACACATGGAAAGACTGTAGACTCTGCTTCTATTATGCTTCTTTATTGCACCTTGGCCAATTGATTTATATTATACTTGCTGTTATGCTTATTTGATCATTATATACTTGCTTATTTGCTTGTGCGTTCATTTTCTGTCAGTGGTGTTTTCTTTTTTGTTCCATGGATTTTTCAGTACCTTCTCTAGCCTGCGCAGGTACTCCCAAGTGGGTCGGCACCATTTGCCACAAATGTGATTACTTTGCCTCTGTTGGTGTTCTCTACATCAGGTGTGTGCTATATGCCCATGTCTTTAAGTATGTGAGCACATGCCTTTGAGAGCCCTTGCCATGCTGGGGTTTCAGAAGAACAGTCACGGCTGTTTAAAGACATAGGAATGCCGCGTATGCGCTGTACCCTGCTGCGTTCACACAAAGTGTATCTGTAGTCACTGACACCGTGTACTGCATAAAGTATGGACCCCTCCTAGGGAGACAACTGAACACTCCGGGCTACCCCATCTTGCCAGATCTGGGACCCTAGTAAGAAGAGCTCTGTAAGCTCTTGGAAGATTGGCTACACTAGGGGTGTGTGGCTTAATATGCAAAGGAGCTCCTGCTACAAAAAGAGCCCTGGATGGGAGGCTACCAAGGAAGTCCAGGGTCACTACACAGAGGCGGGCTACGGCAAACCACCTCTGTCCTTGCCTGGAAAACCCTGCGAGGCCACCGTAGATCAGCTTGACGGCACTTTCCACCAGATGAAAAAATCAGAATTTAACTGAATCACATACAGAAAGGCAACTTTGAGAGCAGAACTCACTTGGGGAAAGTTGTCCCATCCGAACCCCATTGAAAGGAAATGGGAATTCGTGTGCACAAAAAGTACTGTGGTACCTCATGAAGTAGATGTGACATGGCGATCTAGGCTTTCGAGGGGGGAGGGGGGTTATTCCACACTCCCCATCTTTGCTGTTTGTGTGTGTACAAAAGGATGTAGACATATTTGTGTGTGTGCGTGCGTACCCACATACGTATCGGTGCCTCTGTATTGCTTATGTGTGACTGTCGCTAGACGATATTAGACAATATTAAATCGTGGTTTCGTTACAGAATAAAGGCCTGAAGAGGATCTTCTCTGGGATTCAACCAACTGGGGTCCCTCATTTGGGGAATTACCTTGGTGCTCTCACAAGTTGGGTGAAGCTACAGGAAGAATGCAGCTCTGTCCTATTCAGCATTGTCGACCTCCATTCCCTCACAGTTCCGAGAGACCCGGCCGTCCTTCGTGCCAGCATCCTAGACGTCACGGCCGCTCTTCTGGCCTGTGGCATAAATCCACAGAAGTGCATCCTTTTCCAGCAGTCTCAGGTCAGTGCGTGTGTATGTGTGTCTGGTTTATTAAGCCCCGTTGAGGTGCTCTGAGTTTGTGCAGGTGTAGCGCTTCTCTTTGTGCCGTCTCCTCCGTATCTGCTTTCAAAATCATCTTTGGGTAATCTTTTGGGGCACTTTGGTCAATAGAGCTGTCCGATTAAAGCATGGTGCACAGAGGCCGGGAGAATAATGGCGATTTTGCCAGTTCGCCCTCCGAAACAGATAAATTAAGCAAAATCAAAAGAGCAGGAGAAACCTGAAAGAAACGCAGGCTTCAGTTCAGGGTGTGTGTGTGGGGGGGGGAATGCTTGCTTATTGACTGTGGGAATCAGGCGCTGGTCTATCAAAATCAGTCCTCCCATGAGGTTTTTCATTGGGTAGTAGCCAACAGCTGTAGCATTACAAAAAGAAAGAACCTACAATCAGAACTGGTTGAAAACAAAACAGTGAATATGAGGCCACACCCATATTAAGAAGAAGAAGAGGAGATTGGATTTATACCTGGCCCTTCACTACCCAAAGGGGTCTCAGAGCGGCTTAGAAACTCCTTTCCCTTCCCCTCCCCACAACAGACACCCTGTGAGGTAGGTGGGGCTGAGAGAGCTCTTGAGAGAAACTGCTCTTTTTTCAAGGACAGCTCTTATCAGAACTATGGCTTGCCCAAGGTCATCCAGCCAGGTGCAAGTGGAGGAGTGAGGAATCAAACCCGGTTCTCCCAGATTAGAGTCCACACACTTAGCCACTACACCAAACTGGCTTTCAAATTAAGTCAGAAGAGGGGTTCTGGCAGTGCTTAGTTCCAGATTAATACACATTACCTCACAAGAGAGGGAAGATGAATTATCTGGGGCAAAGCATGCAGTTCTAGACAGGCAAATTCTCACTGTATCCAGATATTCGGTGGCCCCTCATCTGGGGAATGCCTTCCCCCTAGAGGCCTGCCTGGCACCTGCCCTGTTGGCTTGGATCCTGTGAACAAGTCCTGTGTGCGCTAGAAAGTCTCTGCCACAGAGCGCGCTCACTCTTGCTCTAGGGCTCGGGAAACCATCGATCTTGCACAAACGCAAGTGCTGGTGCAAGAAGAAGCGCACTCTGTGGCACACATGAGTATGCAGAGAATCAGTTTGTGGGATTCAAGCCAATGTCTTTTAAGCACCAGGCTAAAATGCTTCCCCCACCCCCCCCGGCTTTTAACAAAGGGCTTGATCTTTGAACCTCGTTTTCATCGTCCACTTCTTGCCTGAGAAACATTTTATGAAATGTGTTTTAAGTTACTCAAGGTTCAATGCCATTTCAGTGCACTGACTGAGATATTAATGATAATTTTATACTGCTGTTTTGTGACGTTTTACTTTGTTAGCGGCCCCGGGTGGGTTCCCTGGAAAGGTGGCGTAGAGGTTTTCTAAATCTCTCCTTATATATAATTGAATAGTGGGTGCCAAAGTTCTAATTCTAAAATGCACTCCCTTAGTGTATGGCTGATGGCACTGCTCCTCAGCATATATCGCCACCAATCAGAAGGCAAAGCCCGGGTCCCGCCCACACCACAACTGCTGCGACAACCTGGTCTTTTGCATATGGAAGCTGATTGGACTTCAGGCCATTCCCCCCCCCAAACCCCCCCCCCCCCCCGCAAGGCAGTTGGATTTTTCAGTTGCATAATATACCTTATAGGGGAGAGGAGAATGGGTAACAATGGTTACCACTCTCCAGGTGAGGGCTACAGATAACTCAAACATACAAATGCTCTTCAGGTAGCAGAGATCAGTCCCTCTGGAGAAAACAGTGGACTCTGTCATTAAACCCTGCTGAGGTCGCCACAGGAAACTGACACTGTTTGCCCAAAGCCAGAGCACTCTCCCAGAGCCTCTTTCTAGATCCCGTTGTATTTATTTCCGCAACGGGTATTATTTCTAGTATAAATATATAATCCGGTTGTACCAAAGGGACTCCGTTTGCCAGAGAAAACTTAGAAAAAAACCAGATGGAATGAATACATACATCTTGTTTACTGGTTGCTCGCCTCCCACATGCATTACAACAAATATAGCCTCGTAGCTGATGTTTCATTGACTTTTCCCCATGACTCTCCCGTTCCGTTTGCACCTTTCGCACAGCATGGCGGTGAGTGCTCCTTTCCTTTTGTATGCTCTTATGTCTTGAGTGTTGAAAAATCCAAGTGCAGCTCTTTGGGATTTTTCTTCCTTTGGCTGAGTGAGCCCCGGAGACTGGTAGGGTCTTTGTAATGCATGGATGCGTCTGTTTTATTTACAAATGTGCAAGCGGGACACGGAGGAAGCAAATGAGCAGGTGGCAGAGTGGCAGATTCTGCGTAGGGTTCTCCTTGAGGGAACTGCCCAAGGTTCTACCCCTGTTTCTGCCGAACTCCCATCTGATTTCGAAGGTTCTACCCCTGTTTCCGCCAAACTCCCATCTGATTTCGAAGGTTCTACCCCTCTTTCCGCCGAACTCCCATCTGATTTCGAAGGTTCTACCCCTCTTTCCGCCGAACTCCCATCTGATTTCGAAGGTTCTACCCCTGTTTCCGCCGAACTCCCATCTGATTTCGAAGGTTCTACCCCTGTTTCCGCCAAACTCCCATCTGATTTCGAAGGTTCTACCCCTCTTTCTGCCGAACTCCCATCTGATGTCGAAGGTTCTACCCCTCTTTCCGCCGAACTCCCATCTGATTTCGAAGGTTCTACCCCGTTTCAGCCGAACTCTCATCCCATTTCCAAGGTCAGATTCAACTCTCTCTCTCTCTCTGCTCCACTTTGAAGCTGGAGGAAGGGCCACCCATTTTCTCTGATTGTTAGTGGGCGGGATGGCCCAGGCTAGCCCAATCTCATCAGCTCTTGGAAGCGAAGCAGGGTTGGCCACGGTTTAACAGAAGACGCTCACTCGGCAGCTGTAACCCTACCTTACGTTTAAATTATTCTCCCCGCCCCCCCCCCTTGGGAGGGTACTCTGGGCCTTCTCAAGGGATCCTAAATCCAGAGTGGTGGCAGCGTCAGGTGACACCCCGCCAGATCCCAAAAGCTCCCTTTGGTTTGCCTGAGTGTTTGCACCCTCTGTAAGTCATCAAGCTTAGAACTGGGGAGATCCGACTTTGAAGCCCCCCCCCCTTTGTCTGTGAAGCTCGTTGGTTGTCTTCTGGCTGGCCATGATCTCAACCTGATAGTCTACCCTGCAGGGTCGCTATGAGGATAGAATGGAGGAGGGGGAAATACGTGCTTTGCGTACACTCCTCGATGGGAGACAAATGTGGAATTCATTCAAGCCTCACTTTCCTGTTCTATTTATGAGTTTTTAATACCACCTTTTGCACAGAAGACACCCAGGGTTTTGTTATTGTTATTAAACACACAACGCAGAAATGTAAATTAAAGTGAAATCTGTAACAAAGAAGAGTTTAAAAACATGCTGCTGTGTTCTAAATGTAATCAATGATGCCTCTGGGGCCCTGACCTGGATAGCCAGGCAAGCCAGATCTCGTCAGATCTTGGAAGTTAAGCAGGGTCGACTCTGGCAAGTACCTGGATAGGAGACCTCCAAAGAATACCAGGGCCAGGAGGCAGAGGCAGGCTATCAAGCCACTTCTCTGAACGTCCTCCATGCCCCAGTAGGAGTTGCCAGAAGTTGCAAGGACTTCCAGACACAGGCGCGTGCACACACACGCACACACAAAAGCAAAAATACGGGAAAAAATGATTCCTCTGGGGAAATTAGACTTTTGGTTCGCTGTGCTCAGGGAAAGAAATCGTGTTGGCAGTCATCAAGAAATGATGGCCTTAAGCAATGATAGTTGGAAGTGGGTGGAGAAGCTGTAGGGTTCAGTTTAGGCTTCATCCCAGGACTGTGAAACTGATGAGGGCTCTTGCAACAGCCTAATAGTGAAGTGTGCAAAGGGAAACATACTCTTCTTTCACAGCCCAGAAGCATGCAGGTCCACATGGGAGATGCTGCAGTAGAGAAACCAAACCCCAGCCTTGAATCCCTAACAACAGACTTGGAAACGGACGCACCAGTGGAGGGGCGCAACATACCGAGTGATTGCATTGTTGGCGAAATCAGCTTATGGAAATAGCTAGCTTCCTATGGGAAGCAATAAATAGCGGGATTTGTAAAAATGATGTCCTACCAAGTACTTTTAGCAGGAAACATTCTCTAAGGAAGGTAGTGCCTGTTCGGCAACAAGCCTGTTCTGTCAGGAGACGACGCAGGGTTTTGAACCACTGCGAATTCAATCACTGCTGTTGCGCTGGTAGGTTGGGTTGGTACATTATTAGCAGCATCTCTGAATATGTGGTGTCATGATCTGGGCTGTGCCACCAGAGGCCTACTTGGCCCAGGGAGCCTAGCTAGCAGTAGGTGAGGCTCGGCCTACAACTCCCAGGAGCCCCTGGGAGGTTTTGGAGCCAAAATTGACCAATAGGGAAGAAGAGGGCTGGGGAGCAAAAGGACTGGTGCCAGAGCAGAAGCTGTTCTTTCTTCCAGAGGGCAGAGCCGGAAGGAAGGCTGCTGCAGGAAGAAACCCTCATCCTGAGGGCCGGGTGAGTAGTCTAGTGTCACTTGGAGGAGCCAGTCTGGTGTAGTGGTTAAGTGCGCGGACTCTAATCTGGGAGAACCGGGTTTGATTCCCCACTCCTCCACTTGCACCTGGCTGGATGACCTTGAGCAAGCCATAATTCTGGCACAGCTGTTCTTGAAAAAGAGCAGTTTCTGTCAGACTTCTCTCAGCCCCACCTACCTCACAGGGTGTCTGTTGTGGGGAGGGGAAGGGAAAGGAGTTTGTAAGCCGCTCTGACACACCTTTGGGTAGTGAAGAGTGGCGTATAAATCCAAACTACTACTACTACTACTCCTCCTCCTCCTCCTCCTCCTCCTCTTCTTCCTCTTCTTCCTCTTCCTCTTCTTCCTCTTCTTCCTCTTCCTCTTCTTCCTCTTCTTCCTCTTCCTCTTCTTCCTCTTCTTCCTCTTCCTCTTCTTCCTCTTCT